AGAAGAAGACCGCGCGGCTCGTGATCATCGCGAACAACGTCGACCCCATCGAGCTGGTGCTGTGGATGCCCACGCTGTGCCGCGCCAACAAGGTCCCGTACGCGATTGTGAAGGACAAGGCGCGCCTCGGTGACGCGATCGGCCAGAAGACCGCCACGTGCGTTGCGATCACCGACGTGAATGCCGAGGACGAGGCTGCCCTGAAGAACCTCGTGCGCTCCGTGAACGCGCGCTTCCTGGCCCGCAGCGACGTCATCCGTCGCCAGTGGGGCGGTCTGCAGCTCTCACTGCGTTCGCGCGCCGAGCTCCGCAAGAAGCGTGCCCGCAACGCCGGCAAGGATGCCGCCGCCCTCGTGTAAGGAGAGGATGCTCGCTTCCGGGAAGTCCATCTTTTTTTTTTTTCCTTTCCCTTGAATCGCCATGGTCTTTGTCCATTTCTTTTTTTGTTTTAGTTTTGCGTCTAGCATTGGCGTGCGCTCAGTGGCGTGCAATCCGCCCCTTTTCCCCCATTCCTACGCTGGGAGGGAGGAGGGTTCATGTGCAATCTTAATTGCAGTGTTGCGCCGTGCGACGTGCTTGCTTCTTTTCCGTCTTTTCCCTCGACTCTTTGCTCTGGGTGTGCGGCGGCGCGGTGGCGGTGGTTTCGTGCAGGAGGGAAGGAGGCGTCGGAGCCAAAGGAGAGGGAGGGGAGAAAAAGTAAAAAAAAAAGGGGGCCGAGGCGAAGCCGGAAAGGGGGAAAGGCGGCGCAGGCACAAAGCCGGGCTGTGCCTCCACACGCCGTGTTGCCGCGGCAGGCCCCGCTTGGAATAGGGCAGCTGGCAAGAGGCAAGGGAGGGAGGGCGAGGAGGGCATGAAGAGCGCCCTCGCCTTACTGGCGGACGATGTCAGTGAGGCGCTGGCCCAGCTCTCCAAGGCGACGGAGGCCGTGGTCATTGCCGGCACACTGCAGGAGAAGAAAGCCGCAGAAATGGCAGCGCGCCCCATTATGCGGGAGGCCCGAAGCAAAATAAGCATTCTGCGTGCTGAGGTGCGCCGAACGCAGGACCCGGCCACGCGGGCCCAGTACGAGAAGCTTTGCCACGAGGCCGATGGGACCGTGCGCTCCTTAGATGGCGAGATGAAGCAGCAGATTTACCCAAAGCGTACGGTGCCACGGGAAAAGACCTACACGGAGCGGAAGGAGGAGGAGTTGCTGGGGGCCGGCGGGGCGGATGGGACGGGGTTCACGGACTCTAAGCAGGTGCTTCAGTCCGCTGTCAATGTGCAGAGGGACGCACTAATTTCTTTAGAGCGGGCGGAGCGACTGCAGCACGTGACAGAGGAAACAGGCCATGAAACGCTCAAGACGTTACGGCAGCAGACGGAGCAGATGTACCAGGTGGACGAGGAGCTTCGGAACTTGCAAGGAGGGCTTGACCGCGCGACACGTGAGGTGCGGTGGTTTTATCGTCAGTTGGCTGGTGATCGGTGTTTTCTTTCGCTCCTTGGCATATGCGTAGTGGCACTGGCAGTGCTGGTGTTTGTGATGATTTACAAGAAGCGCCACAAGTGAGCGACGTTGCATGCAGTACCGGCGAGGCGCCGTTTTTTTGGTTTCGTTTTTCCCGCGTTTTCTCTTTCTTTCTCCCCCCCCCTGTCCAAAAATGGCTGCATCTCCAAGTGAGGGGGCGTGTATAAGTGTGTGGAGGGGGGAAAAAGAAGGAAAGAAAGAGAGAGGCAGAGGAAGGACAAGTGGACTGTTTGGCATGGTTGCGTTTTCTACCATTGCTCTTTTTTGTTTTTGTTGTTGTTGTTTCGTTTCCTAAAAGAAAAAAAAATAGTATCATTCTTGCGGTTATTACTATTCTTGCCTTCGTGTTGAGCCCCGTGTGAGGGGAGGCGCCCAACATTTGGTGTTGAGGGCGACCTCTCGTTTCTGGATATCTCCTTCTCACCCGCGCATCCTTTTTAGGTTGTGTATACACACGCACATATATACATGTGTGTATATACATATATATATATATATATGTATACATAATGTGTATATATGTCTATACACGTCTGGGCATCTATGCGTCGGTGTGTGTGTGTGTGTGTGTATTTCACCGGCGGCGGGGTGGATGCATCGCTCGGTTTGCTCTTTGGTTTCTCCCCTCCGTCTGTTGCGGTGCTTCTCGCTGCTTTCTGTGGCGTGCCTGCTGGGGGGCGGAGGGATGCACGCGCGTTATTTACCGCCCGCCCCACTCGTGCACGCAGGCCCAGACGACGCCGGTCCGCCGGCCCCCAAGTTGCCGCGACCAACGAAGCCAGCGAAGCAACAGAAACTCCGGGGAGCCTGCGGGCCCCCCTGTACCCTCCCACCCCACCACAAAAAAGACGAATAAAAAAACAAGACTCCTTCTTGTGCTGCTGTTTTTAATTCTTGCCTTGCTTTTCCCCACACTTCCGCCTTTTTATTTTTATCTTTTACTTTTCTTGCTGCTTTGTGTCTGTGGTGCTGCGTAGCCTTTTCCGCTTCCTGCAGTTTGTCCTCTCCGACTGGTTTGTGAGGGCGGAGGGCGAGTGGAAATAAAAAAAAGGAAACAAACACACGCGCAAGGCACGGAAGGAGACGGAGGCGGAGGTGGAGGCGGCGGTGGAGGGCGCACCGCGGCGAGTTGTCTCTGTGCGTGCGTCTAGCCGGCTGCTGAGGGGGCGGCAGGTGCGCCGGAGGGAGGCACACAAGGCGGCGGCAGCAGCAGCAGCAGCATCGGCGGCGAGGGGAGAGCGTCACTTTTCCCTCTCTTTTTTTGCGTGGCCGTCGCGACTTCGTTGGTTAGCGCCGTGGGCGAGCCACCGCCACGCATGGCGGCCACCAACCCATCCTCTCCGTTGCGAGGGGAGCAGGTGGGAGGCGGCGACGGCCCCACGTTTCCCGCGGGGGACGCGTTGACGCCGGAGGACTACTACGTGTCGGTGGAGAACATCCAGCTTCTCTGGCTGAGCGGCGCCATCGGCCGCACCATCATCGCCCCACTCGACCGTGTGAAGTTCATCCTGCAGTGCCAAGGCGAACTGCAGCGGCTAGGAACATTGGATGGATCCTTTCGCGGGGCGGGACACTGTGTGCGGCATCTAGCATCTATCGAGGGCTACCGCAGTTTCTGGCGGGGGAATCTGATTCAAGTGATTTCTCTGCTGCCAATCACAATTGCACAGATATTTATCGCGCTCCCCACGCAAACCTTTGTGTTTAACGCCTTCCCGCACCATTCGGCCGCGACGTACACCGCTTCCTTTTACGCGGCACACATCTCTGGCGCGCTCGCAGCGTCAATGGTCTCCTACCCACTTGACTTTGCGCGGTTTCGGCTTGCGGTCGACATTAAGCCCTTCCGTGGGGCCTCGTACGAGTTCCGCCACAGTTTGGCGTTCTTTTCTCAGCCTGTGCTGAGTGAATCTCCACACCTGCTCTACAAGGGATTATGCCTGTACGTGTTTGGCAGTCTGTTGTATCAGACCGTACACAATGGTATTCTGAGGGTAGTGGAGCCGTTCGTCCTCCCTGAGACGCCGGAGAGCGGCTACGGCACGATAGCAGCGCAGGTAGGGACGGGCCTCACCGTGTCGGCACTCTCAACACTCTGCCTTCACCCCATCGACACTGTGCGGCGGCGCATGATGATAGCGGCGACGGAGGACGACCTCCGCTACTCCTCAAGCATGCACTGCGCGCGCCACATCATGCGGACTGAGGGGCCGGCGGGTTTTTACCGCGGGGGCCTCTTTGCCCTGGTGCGGATGGTGGCCACAACGGCGCTGTTCACGCTGGGAAGCGTTGCCAGCTGAGCGGCCGCCTGCGTCGGAAGTAGGGGGCGCACGGGCGCCCGCGGGGGCGAGGTGAGGTGAGGTGAGGCGTGTGTGTGTGTGTGTGTGTGTCTGTCTGTCTGTCTGTCTGTGTGTGGGATGGAGGCGGAATAGGCTTTTCTTTTTATTTTCTCTTTACTTTTCCTTGGTTGTGTCGGTGGCATTGCCTCTGATGCGTGAGGCACCGGGGTGAGTTTTGTAGTGGATGTGTCTTGGAGCGTACTCAATCACGTGTTGCGCGGACCTGAGCGGCGAACAGGTAGGCGGGGGCGGGTGCGGCGTCAGCAGGAGGCAGAAGGAGAGAAGTAAGAGGGAAAACGCCGAAGCAAAAAAAAAACCAAAGGGGGAGGGGAAAACGAAACAAAACGGCAGCAACAACAAAGACAAAGGAATATATATATTAACAAAAAAACAACAACAAAATACAAACCAAAGAGCAAAGAAAAGGAGGAAGAATTAAAAAAAAACGGAACGGTGGGGGCGGCGTACATCAGGTCTGTTGGTGTTGCAGAACAGAAAGGAACCATGTGTGTCTGTGTGTGTGAGAGAGATAGGGAGGGCTGGGGCGGGAAGGCGCGCGAGAGAGAAGGATAGTGAGTGAGGTTTTATGGCATCTTTGCTCGCGAGCAACAGGTTACTGACGAGTAAAGAGGCTTTTTTTTTGTTCCTGAGGTGAAGGCCTTTGACGCCTCCCTCGTGTATGATGCAGTTGCGGGTCTGTGTGCAGCTGGAAGGGGATAGTGTGGTGTGGTGTATCTTGTACGTTTCTGCGTCTCTGCCACTCTCTCTGTGCCGGTCTGTATTTATTATTATTATTTTTTTTTTGTCTTGCTGCTGCTGCTGCTGCTGCTGCTGCTCCTGGCGGTGGCGGTGATGAGAGGGTGCTTGGTCCGCTTTACTCTTTTTATTTCCTTTTCTTCTTGTTTTCCTTTTTCCTTTCCTTTTTTTTTTTCCTTTTGGCGTTTGAACCGATTTTCCTCCTTCTGACTTTGCCTCTCTGACTCGAGCTCTGTTTCAGCTGTCTCTGCGGCAGGTGCACGCCTCCGCCTCTCTGCATGCGCCTCCCCCCTACACCCGCTCGCGCACTCTTTCTCTTGCTCTTTGTTGTTGTTGTTGTTTTTTTTTTGCGTTCTCTCACTCCTGTGCCCTGCATTCTTTTTTTTCCTCCTCTGCTTGCGTTGGGAGGGGGCAGGTCGCGAGGCGAGGCGAGGCGAGGCGAGGTGCGGTGCCCACGCGCAGCGAATGAGCCGGGGGCAGCACACGCCGCGCGGGCGCCCCGCGGAGGTGGAGGACTCCATCCATTTCCTGCAGCACTACCTGCGGGGCGCCGCGCCCGCGAGCCGGCCGCGCCCGGCCTCGTCCCCGCCCCACGTGGAGGGCGCTGCGGCTGCCGGGGTGCTGCCGGCCTCCGTCGTCCCCGGCGAGTGGGGGACGCAGGGGTGGGCGCGGGGTGCAGCCTCCCCCGTCCGTGCGCCGCTGCGCCTGCAGTACGGCCCCACCGCGGCGGCCCCTGCTGGGCGGCCGCCGTTGCCGCACTACCACCAGCAGCAGCGGCAGCAACTGCGTCGGGACGGGACGACGGGTCTGAAGGGCGCGTCCACCGGCGCGTGGGAAGACGCTTCGCCACGCGCCACTGCTGCAACAACTGGTAGAGAGTGGACGCGTGGGACAAACAGCATGCGCCCAACGTATTCGCGGACCGCTGCGAGCTACTTGGGACGCGTTCATGGCGATTCGCCCAGCAGGTTGGACCTCGACAGGGCGGAGGCATCGCTGTACTCCCGCCACCGCCCGCACCGCCGTCGTCGCGGATCCTCGCACAATGCGGGGTTGGTAGAGTACGGCACATGCGACGACACTGACGAAGAAGAGACTGAGGACGAGGATGAGGAGGGGGACTGGGAGGAGAAGAGGAGACGGAACCACAGACGTGGAGGCACAGCACCGCCGACAGATCGCGACGCTGGCCCAATCAGGGGGGGCGGCGCGAGGCAGCCTCGCACGGCAGGGAGTGAGCATTCCCCTGAGCGTAGGTTGAATGCGTCTGCTGCGGCGCCGATGGGCTCTGGCCTGCGTCAGACGGCCACGTTGAATGAGTTGTCGACGCCGTCAGGGAAGTGGCCTGGCGAGAGAGCGCGCCCACAGGACGTGTTTCCGTACCCAAGGCACGAGGACAACTTGCGATCTGTGCTTTTCTACCTGAAGAACCACTACGCCCTCGAGCCTCAGGAGTCGCTTCGGGGCATCGAGACGATGACGCCGGAGGATGTGCTGGATCTTGTGCAGTGCTTCTACGTTGACGCCTACCGCACCGTGCGACATGCGCGGGACGCGGCGGGCGTGGGTCGTGCCGGGTTTACCGAGCAGGATCCCCCCATGGACTGCGTGGCAGCCGCACCCAGCGACGCCGGGCTGCCAGCGGGAGCAGAAGAAGCCCCTGAAGAGGCGGCAGCGCCTGCGCCACCTCCGCACTCACTGCCGCCGCACAACAGCCTGACCCGGCCCGCCGTCTCCAGGCGAACGCCTCCGCAGCAGCTTTGGCGGCAAAATGCCGCAGGGCCCAGCAGCAGCAGCGTCGGCGGGGGTGCCGCTCGAACGCCATCCGGTCGTTCGCATCCGCCAGAGCACTTCCATGCGCCGCTGGAGCACGCGACGTCGGAGGGTGCCAACGCCAGTGTCCTCACCGAGGGCACGCAGCTCTCGGTGGAGCCCCCGCAGGAGCCTGGCAGCGGCATCGTGAAGCGGCCACTGAGGGAACTCATGCCGCTTCTGCGCCGGGGTTCGGCGCTCTGCAAGCACGTGGAGGATGGACGCCCGCACATGCGTTTCTTTCGCGTGGAGGACCACCTTGGGGAGTACCTCGGGGAGGAGGCGCTGATGCCGCACTTGGTGTGGTACCTCACCGCGAAGGAGAAGAAGCCCGTCGCGGCGTTAAACCTGCTCAGCCTCCTCGGCGTGCACCTCCTCCTCGCGGACGCCAGCGGCCAGTTCCTCAAACTCTTCCGGCGCAAAAAAGGGATCGTCGTCGACCACAGCCGACGTGCTGTCGCGAGCGGCATGTGCGCTGTCTTTCGCTTCGAAAGCCGCGACGTGGCGGTGTCGTTCCTGACGGAGGAGGATCGGCAGTTGTGGGTGGGCGGCATGATGGGCGTGGTGGAGAGGAACAGGCTGCTGGCCGCCCGCCCCTGCTAGTGACGAGTCTGGAGGCAAAAGAAAAGAAAACCAAACAAAAAAAAGAAGAGAGAGAGAGCGAACTAAAAGAAAAAAAAAGAATGAGAGGCGCTGGAGAAGAAACAAGACAAAAAAAAAAAACAACAAAAATGATGACCAAAAGAGGAAAACAAAAAAAAGAACAATAGGGAAAAATCTCATAGACGAACCTTCACGCAGCAGGAGAGAAGCTGCGACTTGTGACGCCGCCCTCCCTTGGCAAACCGCCGCTGCCGCCGCTTCGGCCGCTGCTGGTGGTGGTGCTAGACAAATGACGCGGGGAGAAGGCAGGGGGCCGCGCTGCGAGACGCTCGCACTTCCACGGACTTCCCCCATTCCTGGCCGCTGTTCATGCGCACTGCCCTTCACACCCCGCCTTTTCCCCCTTTTCTTCTTACGTTATTATTGCAGCTTTAGTTTTTTTTCCTTTTTTTTGTTTAATAGTTCTACTTTCCTTTTTTCCTCAGTGCCTTTTCTCCGGCTGCCTCTTTCGCCTGGACCAGGAGCGGCGCGCACGTTCACCTCGTTTTTATTTATTTTTTTTCCCCCATTTGTTTGGCCGGACCGCCACCCTCCGCGGCCGCAGCTGCGACGCGGGCCGACTGTGCGAGGCGAGCAAACACCCCGGGCGAGACCAGAGACCGGGCGGCGGTGGCGGGCCTCCGTTGCCTTTGGAGAAGTCACACCGCGTGCGGCCGTCGCTGGTGGTGGCCGTGCACTTTGCGCCTGTAGCCCCTACTCCTCCTCCTTTTGCGCACGTCCCGCACCCGACAGCCGCACACGGCGAGATACGGAAAAAGAGGTTGAAAGGCGGGAAAAAGCCGTGGCCCCACGAACAGGCAGGCAGGCAGGCAGGCAGGCAGGCAAGCAAAGAGGATTGGGGGTGCGGGGGAAGGTGGCGAGGCGGGCCACACCCAACCCACACGAGGGCAAGGGAGAAGGTAGACACCGGCGGTGACTAAGCGGGACATTTCGCCCGGCGCCGCCTCCCTCCGAAGGAAACAGAAGGGGGACGTAGACACATTTGTGCCCAAACACCTGTATACACAGAGAGAGAAAGATACCTTTGTGCGTAGGAAGGAAGAATATTAGCAGCAGCGGGGACACGCCGAACAAAATCGGGGCATTTGGAACATAAAATAATTCGCCCGGCGGCAAAGGGTGAAAAGTGCTTCTCTCTGCTCTTCTCCTTCGGCGACTCCCCCTCTTCCTGCCTGAGTGTCCTCGATTGGGGCGCGGCACACGAGAGCTACCACCACTAGGGGAGGGCGGGACAGAGGAAACAAGGCACTCCCGCCGTCGTAGCACGCAAAAAGGCACAACAACAACAACAACAACATCAGCAACAACGGCAACGACAACAACAACAGCATCGGCAACAACAACAATAGCGGTGAATAGCAGGGAGGGCGGATGACTGCTACTCTCAGTTCATTGACGGGGCTGCTGCTTCTTCGCCGGGGATGCGGGGGGGACGCGTCGGCGTCCATCGTGCTAGACGCGTCTCCGGATGAATTTATACGCCACGTCTGTGGCGCCGCCCCGGATGGGTCCGAGGTTGGCGAAACATCGCGGAGGCTCGACTCCTTGCTTGACACACAGACCAGCGTCCTCGCGCAGTCGCGGCTTCTCTGCCCACGTGAGTGGACCTTTGCATCCTCTCCCTCTCCAGCCACCACGTCGGGTTGGCACGCCGTTACAGCCAATAGCTTTGCTTATATTCTGCACACGTGGAGCCAACTAACCGCCCACCTTGTTTCTCCCACCGCACGCAAAGGCATGAGTGTCAGTTTCTTTCCGACCAGCCTGCCGAAGTGTATTGTGCCTTCATTGAGCGGCGGCTGCTGCGATAACGTTTATCATGAGGTGCGTGCACACATTCCGATTCGCCTTGTGCATCCGCCTCTACCAGCAAAGACTAACGGTGAAGAGCGGTTGGAGACTACTGGTCTTCATGCTGCGCTGGAGGAGTTTTTGCGGTCTCGTCGTATGTGCGCGCGTTTACTTCGCCAACTCATTCACGACGCATGCTTAAAGTTCATGTCAGATGGTGGGTGCTGCGTTCCCACGTCAACCAGTGATGAGGGGCTGCGGCGTGACACCTCTTGTGCCTGTTTGACAGACGAAGGCGTGGGCGAGGAGATGATGTGCTGCGTCTGCGGCTGCATTAAGCGAAGTTTTAGACCCGTGCATCATCTGCTGCTGCCGCTAGGAACCGCCTTGGCGCTACCCACGCCCATTTTGCTTACTCTCGGAGTAGAGTACGACGAAGTCCTGCCCAACGTCGCGGCGGGGGCGGAAGGCAAACCCGCCGCAGAGGACGTGGTGGGGGAAAGAGGCGTGACCATTTCGATACACACGGTTGTGCGCGTCACGCGTGCCCGCGCGGGAGATGAGCCGCGCTGGAAGTCGGAGATGTTGGCGTACAAGGCGCTGACGGCGCTCCTGCCCGTGCAGTTTGCAGTGCAGGGGGCAAGCACGATAGAGGTGGGCGAGGTGGGGCCGGACGGCGGCGTTTCCGCCTGGTCGCAGCGCACCGGGGTGGAGGTGTTGAGGGCGGGGGAGCAGATGCAGGAGACGCGGGAGCGCGTGCCGCCATCGCTGAAGCCCCTCCCGCAGCACGTTGCGACGGGAACGACGGCGGGCAGAGTGAAGACGCAGCACGACCCCTACTGCGCACTCACGCGCTCCTCCACCTCGCACGAGTCCCACGCGGTGGACAGCCAGAACCTGGAAAGCGTCGATGACGGCGAGGACAACCACAGCGAGAGTGGGGGCGGTAGCTACAACGGCGGGAACTCCTTCGCGCAGGAAGTGGGCAAAGACGGCGGCCCCATCTTCAGCTCCTCGGATAAGGCCGCTGGGGAGGTGGCCGGGACGCCCGCGAAGGGGGAGAAGAGAGAGGAGGAGAGAGAGGAGGAGAGGGAGGAAGAGAGGGAGGAGGAGAGGGAGGAGGAGGAGGAAATGTCCATGGATGAGGTGAGGCAGGTTGTTTTGTCATTAACGCAGGACCTCGCGGAGAATAGGCGGCAATGCGCGGAGCTGCATCAGGCGCTCCAGTGTCAGCTGTATTCCCTGCTCCTTCAGTTTGCATCCGGCAAGGAGGCGACGCCACAGCGCAGGAGGAATCGGGGGGGCAGGCACAAAAACGAGGATGAGACAGGGGCCTTGGCATTTCTTTCCGCGTTCCTCGGGACTACCGCCGAAGCCGAGAACGACAATGCAAGGCTGCAGCAGGCCATGGAAACGCTGACAAACTCTGGGTGCGGCGGCGGCGGCGACGGCGGCGGCGACAATGAAAGCAGTGCCTACACCACCTTTGACGACTGCGTCAAGGATGCGGCAGAGGGGATTCAAACACTCGAGGACCGCCTGCGTGCTGGGCCAGTGGTGATTGTGAGCGTGAGTAGCACTAGAAAACGACCTCGAAGCGGCGTCGTGGCCAAAAAAACTGGGCGGAAGCGAAAGAACGAGGTTTTCGTCTTCGCGGCCGCAACGAGGTGTCTCACATCGGAAGCGCAGAGAAGAACTGCCAGTGCAGCGTGTAAAAAGGCGCTCGACAAGAACGCCGAAGAGAACGACGGCGCCAGCGTCGTGCTGCGGGGCTCTGCGTCAGCGCTTGCGGAGGCACGCCGGCACGTGGATGACACGCTTGCGAGCCTGCGGGCTGCGGTTGCTTGGGGGCGCCAGCGGGTCACGGAGCTGCGTTTCACCTGCCAGCTGTGCCAGGGGGCACTGGCTCCCTGCCTGGAGGCCCGAACAGCCCTCGCGAAGGCGGAGCAGAAGGCGCGCGCAGACCTGCAAATAGACTACCTTGTGGCGGAGGCGATTGCGCGGGAGGCAATTAGCGGCGCGAGCAATGCGGCGAGCGGCGAGGAGGACGGCGAGGAGGAAGCGGAAGAAGGGGAAGCAAAAGTGCTGATGGGGGAGGCTTCGGCTGAGGGGCCCGAAGGGCGGGACGACGGGGCAGAGGCGGAAGAGCGCGCGTTCGTGGAGGGCGCGAAGGGGCCACCCGCGGCGGACGAAGCGGCCACCACGCCAAAAGGGCGCAAGGCTGTTTGCCCCCCGAATGGACGGCGCCCGCAGTCGACGGGTTCGCAGGAGCCAACACCGCCACCTTGTTTGCCGCCGAAGAGGCGCCGAAACGGCGGCGTTGAAAAGGCAAGGAAACCTCCCGCTTCTCGCACAGACTCCGGGCTGCAGAGGCGGGTTTTGCACATGACCGTTTGTGTGTTTCTGCTGCTGTGCGCATTGGGTGTGATGGCCTACTTGTTCCCGTGACGCGAAGGAGGGGAAAGGCTGGCGGCGTCCTCGTTCCTGTCGCGTTGGTTTACTGGTCTTTGCGTGCCTGTTGCTTTTTTTTTTCTTTGCGGGGGTGCGTCGCAGGGGAACATAAACGTCGTTGTTTGTTTGTTTGTTTGTTTGTTTCCCCGGTGGCAAAAGCGCCTCTTCCCTCCCCGGCGGCGACGGTAAGTGAAGAAACAGGCAAACCAGCGAAGAAAGAAAAAGCAAAGCAAAGCAAAAAGAAAAAAAAACAGAGGCCACAGGGAGGGAGAGGGAGGGAGGCAGAAATGAAGCAACAGGCAGATGGAAAAAAAAACAAACAAAATGAATTTAAAGTATAACACAAATAAAAAACAAACAAACAAAAGAACAAACAAAAAAAACGGAGGCTAAACTAATGGATGGAAAGACAACAACAACAGCAAAAAAGCTACAATGAGCGGAGGGCCCTAAGACTCTTCCTTCTATTGTTCTCTCTCTTTCTCTCTCTCTCCCGCCTCGTTTCCTCTCTGCCACTTTTGATGAGTCGTCGCCTC